CCCCCCCACCCAAGACAGGGCCTAATGAAGTAGAGCAGTGATTAATAAAAACGAACAGCACCTCTAGCACCTTCCAGAGAGCCAGGCTTCCTGGCCTGTGGATGGTCCCTCACAGGGACAGGGACAAATACTGCTGGTGTCCTCCCCAGCAGGCTCTGGCAAACTGTTTCCCTGTAACATGGGGTCCTGCGGGGTCTTGAGCATGTTTGGGTGTCTGTGCCGTATTTCTCATTTGCTGTGGTGCCTCCTAACGAACAGCACCTCTAGCACCTTCCAGAGAGCCAGGCTTCCTGGCCTGTGGATGGTCCCTCACAGGGACAGGGACAAATACTGCTGGTGTCCTCCCCAGCAGGCTCTGGCAAACTGTTTCCCTGTAACATGGGGTCCTGCGGGGTCTTGAGCATGTTTGGGTGTCTGTGCCGTATTTCTCATTTGCTGTGGTGCCTCCTGTGAGTCCAGGTGTTACACAGCTCTGTCCCTGGAGCTGGCAGCAGGGCAGAGGCTGCTTTCCTTATGAATTTCTAAGTAACAAGCCACTATGCACCAGGAGCACTCACCGAATTTGTCACGTAGCAAACTAACCCCATCTTGCTTACGCCACTGCAGTATGTGCAGGGCTCCTCTTCCTCTCCTGTTTTCAGAAGGACATCCAAGAGCCCTGCCACCATGCACTGCAAATCCTTTATCTGAGAACAGCTTTGAGAGCGCTCATGTATTTTTCTGATGCTTAGATCAGATTAATGGGAGAAGGAGAGCTGATTCATCTTCTGCCTCCAGACTAGAGACTGCTAGTTAGTCTCTGCTTACATCCTAGGCACAGCTCCAAGAGCTAGAAAAGCATATGGTCAAGGGTGGGCAGGTTCCTGGCAGAGACATGACTCTCTGCAGCCTGCAGCCCTGAGCGTGGCTAGCCCCGTGGCACCCCTGGTGTGCCCCTGAGGCAGTGGCTTCACGGGAGCCTGCTGCAAAGGCCTCGCTGCTGGCTCAGTGCACAGACGACCCTGGACACACCGAGGGGATGGGAAGGGGCCTGGGGGACAGGGTCCCACAGGACGCCTGGTTTTGGCTGTCACTGCAGGACACTGGGATCTGGCATTTGCTCTCTAGGCGCTGCTGCAGCACGGGACAGTGACAGAGGCTCCCTGCCATCCCTCCAGCCAGCCCCAGTCCCAGCTGACACGGACTAGGACTACCACCCGCGAGCAGCTGGCTGAACGGAGCGGGGTTTGCTGCCGTCCCTCCTCCCAGCCAGGTCACGAGCATGGACCTCGGACAGCCAAAATCACATTACTGGCGACGTGAGTCAAACCAGAGCGTGGTGGTTTGGGTCGAGCAGGTTCGGCTGGTGTTGCAGCCCCAACCCAAAGCCGCTCGATTGCCTGGACACATCACACCCCAGGTCTGAAAACACTCAGGCTGTTTGACGGTTCCTCACTTCCCGTCCTTAGAAACGTGTCGCTGAGTGCAGACAGGAATCAGCAACGCTTTACAAAGGAGGGAGAAAGTAAGCTTCAAGTAAGCCCCTACTGTGATGTTCCCAAAGTTTATTACATGTCCTCTTAACTCAAAAACCTGGGAAAAAACGAGCCCCTGATGCACAGTGGGGGAACGAACCTCTCAGGGAGAGAGACAGCGAGGGCGGCCGAGCCAGCGTCACAGCAGACAGCAATCACCGCTCCTGAACCATAATCAGCAAGTTCAACTGCTTTAATTTGCCTGGGGAAAACGTTTTGCTAAACGCTTTTAAATTGATTTAATGAGGCCAATCAGAGAAAAAAAAAAATATCTAGGAGGAAATGGGAGTTCGTTAAAGACAGTTCGGCAGAACTTTGCGAGAGGAGAGGGGAGAGGCTGCGGGCAGGCAGGACTTTGTGCTGGAGTGGCTGAGGAGTGCTGCATGTGCCCCGTCCCGTCACCTTGCCATGGGCGCACTGGCTTGCACGGGAGAGGTGGGGCCAAGCGCTTTAAACCACCGCAGCCATTTGCAAGGTTAAATTGTGTCTTAAGCCTTAATGCAGCAGATTACCCATGGACCTCAACTTGTCTGTAGCAGTGCAACGCGCTCCTCAACCCAATAAAAGAGCTCAGCTGCCAAACCCTGCTGTTCTTGTGTACGTGGACCAGTTGGTGCCTGAAGCTATGAGGAAGGTTTCAAACTGATGAGAGTTTTAATTTGCACCCTCGGTTGTGACCTGTGCTGGCTTACAGCTATTATCTGGCTCTTCCCTCGAACTCAGGCTGCTCTGCCACTGCCTCTGCTGTGCTCACACATGGAAATACAGGGCTGGATCTTATGCAGGTCGTTGGCCAGCAGCTCTCACCGGCCATGTGCCTTCTTGCCTCGATCCGCTTGCCCATCGTGTCCCGTTGCTCTGGGGCTCCAGGATAGTCATGCTTAAGAGTACCACCACTTTCCCTCCACATACATGGGGAAAAGCAAGCCCTGCTGCGGGGAGAACCGTGCGGAGAGCCGTGCAACCGAGCTGCAAAATCCCTCCCACGCTGGTCCAAAAGGATGCGCAGAGACGTACGCGAGGTCTAAAATCTTGCATTGGTACAATGCGAGCAAAGCAAACAGCAAATGCTCATAGCATGGGCCAGCAGTATTAATGCTACTAAATGCTCAGAGAACAGGCCCCTCCATGCCCAGGTGCTTTGCAAGCCGGCATAGAGCGGTTTTACCAACCAACGGGTTTGTGCGCCTGGGTTTGCTTGCTTGTTTACCCCGATTTCTTGCAGGCTGACAACATTAAAGAGTTTCAGCTCTCATCTTGCTCAGTCTTTACTGGGAAACGCCAGGGTTAATGGAGAGAAATGATGGCTCAGCAGCTGGTGCATGGCTTCATGAAAGGGAGGAATCGAAGCCCTCCTCTGCCACAAGCTTCCTGTTTGGCCTCAGACAAGTCATTTAACCTCGCTGTGATTCAGTTTGCCCTTCCAGGACTTAGCTGTAAAAGTCCCTAAAGTTGAAGCTGTTTGCATTAAAAGGCATGCTGCCGGGCTAGAGAAAGGTGGTGGCAGGGTTATTCCCACCTTTACGTGATGGCACGCTGCCCCTCTGCTCCAGCAGTGCTGCTGCGTCGGGGCGGGGGGGGTTGTGCTGGGACCTGCATCAGCTCCCTTCAAAACAGTAAATTAAACCAGGGGCATCGCAGCCTGGGACAGGAGCAACAAGGTGTTCAGAGGGGGAAAGAGATGAGGGGAGAGGGGGAAAATCCTCCTCAGCTGCTCCTCCTGCTGCGTGGTCCAGCCCCGGCCAGGGGGACGGCGCAGGGGAAAACATTCCTTTCCTCGCGAAACAAATCGGGAAAAAGCGACGCCTCCGAAAACACAACTAATGGGAACCACTTTGCAGCTGGGAGCTAATGGGAGTAATAGGGCTGGTTATGTGGGTGGGAGAGTGCTCCCGGGAGACGCTCGGCTCGGCAGCGACTGCACGGTCGCCACCGCTCCCTTTGCCGAAACCCGGAGCGCGGG